TAAGACGGCATTGACAATTGGGATGCTTGCAGCTTGATAATCATACAGGTTTGGAATGGTTGGGACTGTCATTGGAGGTATCTAGAAGGCCTCATCATCAACAGCTGCACCATCTTCAAGTTCTTCAGTGTTCTTCTTGATGCTGAAACAGTAGACCTCCTGAGAATCACTAGGTTGAACCAATTTTCCAGCTTAAGGGGACGTACCATTAGTGACCAAACACGCCTTCTTCTTGTGCGCAACTCTCTGGTCTTTCATGATCCGCTTTAGGTTTTCTTCGTCAAGTACGTTGCTGAGCAGCCAGTCCTGGCGTCATGTAGCCACTTCCCGGGTTCACACCATGGGTCATGGTCCATGGACTGAAGCTGTGAAGTTGCAAGACTGTAAGCAGGTCAGGTGCACAAAAACCTTTTGACAGTTGTCCAAATTGCATTGCCGTTCAGCATAAGCAAATCTAATTGCATTCATGTTGGCAGCCATCGATGTTACAGTAAAGGTCAGAGCCAAAATCTGAAGTAAAAACACATCAATCTGCTCTAGATTTTGAACCCTGACCAACTGGAAAAAACAGCGAATCTGTGACCATGAGACATTCGCTGGGGCACTGGAAGCTTGTGCCACACCTGGGCGGATAAGTCTGGCCGACCTGCTCGATTGGGCTTGAGAAAAACTTGGTGTCAGGCGGTTTTTCCGTCTCCATTGCGCACGCTTCATGCGCAGTCAGGCACCCCATGTCAGCTCATAATTATCTCGACAAAAGCATTCTGCCAGTTTGCGTTGATAATGAGAAATGTGTTTGCATCACACTATGATCCACCTCAAAAATAAACAATATCAACAAGCCAATCTAATTTCCCTTTGAGCCAGTGATGCCACTAATGACGTCATATTCCAGCCACGCCGGTACATTAGCATCCTCGACGGTCTTTTTTTGGATCGTTTCGCTAGTCGTCGTGATCCAAGGACAATGGAGGGTTAGGGTAGGGTATATGGATCCGTGGATAAGCATATTCTGATCCGTGGCCCAAAACATCCAAAAACTTGGCAGCTCCCGACCGAGTGAGTCCCGTTCCGCACCTCCACCTCTGAAGCCTCCGGTGGAACAAACGGTGACGGAGCAGACTCGAATCAAAGGTCTCCGTCCCCAGTGGATTGCAAAACCTCTTCCATCCTATTCCTATGAGAGGTGTCTGCATGACTCATCATGATTCATCAAGATGGGGGGTTGAAGTATTGTTCAAAGTCTGCATGACTCGGACTTGACGCATGTTTCCGTATCTTGTGGGACCCCCACCAGAAGTGCGTGCATCCCGCAAGGCCGCGCCGGTCGATGCCGGTTTCGCACATCCCGTGCAGGTGGACACAAGGGCTGTGGGTCTAAACCCAGGATATGCCAGGGTTGACCTATTCTAGACTGGTCAAGCGGACTTTCTTGGGCTCCAGGTTGGACCCATCCCCATCTCCCCATCCCCACGTCTTTTCGACCGGTCGACCGGTATGGTGATCCGAGTCCTGAAACCGGCGGTGCAAAAAGCGTCGGTTCCGGGACTTCTGGGATGACCATCCATGTCATCCAGGTGGTTTCAGTAGGTTCGGCCTTTGGTTTCAGTGGATTCGGCCTTGTACCAACAAATCGTGCTATTTGTTTGACTGTGACAGGTAAGTAGACCCAAAAGTACATGACTCGTGTCACTTAGTGTGAAACCAATCCGCGGACCCCACGGCGATGTTGACCGGTCCGTCTCGGAACAACGGTCCGGTCCGGACCGCTCGGGAGCGATTGCATCGAGGTCGAACGCGTGGGGGTCGGTTCGGCCCGAACGGGCCGAACGAAGCGGAAGGTGAAGATCTCACGGGAAAAACCAGGTTTTTTGGGGGGTATATGTTGTTTCTGAGAAACTCCATGTTGTATGTGTATCGATAACATTATCGTATATCATCCATGAAGTTTGGAGTGCCCAAGTACCCAGATTCCGCCACAGGGTTTGGATCCAAACACATCAAGACTGGTCTTTGACAGGTCTTCGGTTTGAACCACCAGCGATCGGAATTTGGAACAGGTGTTCCAGTGTGCTTTTGGGACACGCTGACTTGCAAAGAGCCTCGCCATCATCCAACATGTTTTTCAAATTTGGGATCGTTTGGGGACCTACTCTAAACTTGTGTGATGTGTTCGAAGGCTATTCAAGATTCAAAGGACAAATGTGTGATGATGCAAGGCTATGCTTGGGTCTGGAACACAAGGTGTTAGTCCGGAACATCGTCAGATTTATGATTGATGGGTGGGGATAGGAAAACACTTCAAAGGATAATAAGGCGCTTGAGCAACCGGAAGCGATTAACATCCCTCCCGCATACGTGGTGTCGTAGACCATCACCATAAAAAAGAAAAGACCCAAATGACCGAACCGTACCAACCAATCAATTCAAATCTCCTTCTGAACCGAACCTGTCTGCGGTCTGAGCCGATGTGTTTCGGACGTCCCCTCTCCATGGCCTCGGATGAGAACAAGTGGGCCAGCTCCTGCACATCTCGACCAAGCCTGGCGTGAGGCCCACACGATGTCCGCCAGAGGTGAAAGGCAGTGTGAGAAGACCCAGGCAAGTGGGAGGTGATGGGACACGCTGTGTTGTTGTGTGTTATTTTCGCGAGAATAACGAAGAAACACGGGTTTTGAGGTTCTGAGGCGATACTATCAAGAGAGGTTTTTAGAGATCTGATGCTCTTATGATGAGTCGTAGTTGTATGGCATTCCTCCAGATGTCTTCCCACAGCATGGGACCCTAGCTCTCGCATGGGTGGGTTTTCCCCTGCGTACCTGACCGTCGCTGCTGATAGATACACCAACTCACCAACAATGAACGTAGGTGAGGTGGCAACGAAAAATCCGATTCCTTCAGCCTCCCAAACCGAGGTCGGAGCCCATAGAGCATCCAACCGCCAAACCAGCTACATCTGCAGCCATGAAGGAAGTCTATTGCAAGTAAGTCAAATGGAATCATATGGATGTAAACCGCAAAAAAAAACCCAAACCCTGGCAAGTTGACCTCCCTCATGGTTTTTCTTCGGTTCATTTTCGGTGGTAGAAAGGGGTATACCACTCACTTGCGACGACACTCTTTGAGCACAACTTGTTTGCGATGACAACAGCATCACCAGCATCATGGGTCATGGGTGGGGTGGATGGAGGGGTCGGGGGGGGTTGGGGTGGGTTGGGGTGGGCTAGTGGAATGATTGGCCCATGACCACATCATCACATCTTACATCCGTGCGCAACCGACACACACACACACAGTTCTCTATATGATATAAGGGTGGCCAGTTCTGTGCGATCTGAGGCTGGCCATCGATGACAAGTTGAGAGAGAGGGCGTGGTACTTTTTGTGTTTTCTTCCTTTAATTTCCACCGCCACTCATCCCAAAGCCTCCTGGAACCCTTTGAGGTCCCTTTAATGTGCATGATACCATGGTTCACTTCACCATGCCCCCAATTTCAGGGACATCTCTGCCCCCACATGTTTCACCGCCCTGAACACATCTGGTGTTGTACTGTAGTAATTAACTAGTTGATTCTTGGTCCGGGTGATTCTGGAGGACCTAAGTTGGACTTTGGACCCTAAACCACCTCTTCGTCTTCCTCTCGGAAAACGCTGGAGATCCATCGGCGAAAACGACCTGCGACCAGTGGACTCCTACCCCAAACGCTCCATGGGACTTCCATTATATGCCGCCCCATTGACCCCCCTGGCACCAGCCCAACTGATCGGCACGATATTCCATACATGGAGCGTCTGGGTACTGACTGGGACATCGAAACACACACGACATCGATCTCTTGGTGAAGGTCCTGCAGGTCCAGGTCCAGGTCAGTTCACCAGTCCCAGACGCGACTCATGAGACTGCCAGTCCGGACTGCCTTCAAAACGGCCAGGGGTGGTGCCAGGGGGGTCAATGGCATACATGGAGCGTCTGGGCATCTTGCTTGCAACAAAAACGACGATATACACCGTGACGTCACGTCTTCGCAGTCTCCTCCAAAAAGGGAACGGGGGATGGCAATCATGTTTTGTAGCACACACCCATTTCAACCCAGAAGTAGGATGCCTTCTCCAACTGAACCGGGCTCTTAAACAAACCTTTAGAAAAATTAGAAAACACCCACACCCACACAGAAACGCACACAAACACACAAACGAACGAACGAACGAACGAACCAACAAGCCAACAAACCAACCAACCAACCAACCAACCAACCAACAAACACCGCGTCGAAAAAGAAGAAACAAAATGAAACAAACACATCTGAAAAAGAAGAAAACACCCACACCCACACATTCTATCTTCTTCTCACCTGAGCAAAGGCAGCAAATCCATTCGCCGCAACAACAGCAAGGTCGGTGCCAAGTCCACACAAAGCACCTGACGCGCGGTCGACTACTCGAGTGGGTCGCATCTGTGGGTGACCCGAACGAGTCGATGGGGGTCATGGTCCATGTGATCCCACACCACCATACAATCGCCTGAAAACGCCTCGTGTTTGACGACAGGACGTATCTGGACATATACACATATCCAAAAAGAATGACCCAGGTGTGAAAACACCTCGTCAATACAATCTACATACAAACGACCAAGTATCTGGACACATGATTTTGAGGAAAAACAGTCCCAGAGCAACGAATGGATCTAACATGGTCTAGCGAGCACGTCGTACACTTGTGGATCAAAGCAGCCACAAACACGCGAACGAGAGCGAAAGAATGCTTTGTCTTCTCCACCTTTCAATCTTCAGGCTTTAGCTCTGTCTGCTACTCAACTTGCATCCCGTTCCAGCTGCATAGTTGTCTGCTTGACACTTGCCTTGGTCTTCGCTTACCGGTTCAAGCAACTGGAAACCATGGTCTTGGGTTGTAATCAAACTTGCTTTCGCACAAACAAGGTACAAAACATGCTTGGAGGTTGACGAAATCATCTTCAATTCACTGAACTGATATTATAGTGTACCTGTACCAGGAATGCTGTCAAGCTCCAGACGGCAACCGGGTGAAACTGCGTTCAAGATTGCATCACTGCTTGGTTAACTCCTCGGGCCCTTTCTTGGATCCCTTCTTCAAGTGGTGCTTGTGCACCTTCTTGAATCTTTGCCATTTACAAGCTGAGAACTGCTTTGGTCCCCAACTTGCCTCTGATTCACATTTGAAACTGAAGCCAGCTTTTTCATAGCAGCGGATGGCACGCTGGTTCCTGGCCAACACACTTAGCTCTACGGTCTCACATTTCCAACCCAGACCTTAGTTCGAGGCGATGTTGATGTTTGCATGACCTGTCTGTTCGAGGACGGCATGCGGTCAGCACTGAGCCACTGTGAACGTTTTTGCTTGTTGTGACTGGTTTTTGCACTTCAACTGATTTTAGCTGCAGTTTCAAAGCCCCAATCCCCTTCATCATCCTTCCCAACATTTAGCTAAAACACAGCAATTGTGTTTGGACAATCTCTGCTGCCGAGTCTCGCTGGCTATAGTCTTCAGCTGCCTTTATGAGGAGCCCACCGATCCCCCTGCCCGTATGCTGTGAATCAACCTGAGGGCTGTCCGACAGCTATGCACCAAGAAAAGGCTATATATAACTTTGCACTTTCTGGCCAAGCCCTCCGAAGGCTTCTAAACTCAAAAGGCATAGAGAACAATTAAACAAGTCATGATGCATCACTCTGCTCTCTACCAACTGGCTGGAGAGCTGATTCCTCCGAGCAACTTTGATGTGCGAAATGTTAAGGGCCTTCTTTTCCTTGGAAAAGGTGCAATGGATATATCCGGCCACCTCCTTGTTCGCGGTTTTGATCGCGGGCAGAGTAAAATGCTGCGAATTGGCATCTGATAACACTGTCTGGCGGCGGATGGAAGATGCTGGCTGCTGGAAGTCACACACGTACCGCACTCCTCTTTAGAATCTGGTTCTAGTAGCTCCTCATCGCTACTATACGAACAAGAACGCTACTAGTACCAAAGCTCATCGCTACGAACGGAGCAAGGAGGCTACTACGAGTAGTAGCTCCAAACAGCTACTTCACTTCCCTCTTCCAAACCTCCATGTCTCTGATGACTCTGCTGCGTCTCTACTGGTGACAACATGTGATTTTTTTTTAATGTATATATATACATATTTAAAAGACTTGTGACACAATGGAGATCATCAGTGTACGCAAACAGCACGCAAAACAGAACATTTCCTTTTGGAGAGTGACTCAAGTTGCAACGCTCCACGCCTTGATTCCACCCACTGCATCATTCGGGGGCTCTGAGGCATCGGTAATCACGCCCACAGCTTTGGACCATTGCTCATGCGTAAGCTTCGGAAACCAGGATTCGTCCTTCATCAGCCTCGTTTGTTTTCACAACTTCGCAAAGCATCACCTGTAGAAGGTAGCAGTGGAAGGCTAGCAGTAGACGTCACACACACACAAAACACACAAACTTGCAACCGAAGCCACCTTGCATGGTCCACAACGAAGTGCTTTTCCAGAACCCGAAGTTTTGCTGCGGTAGTGGGCGATGACACTTTGACAACCGAGTATTCGCCCTCTGAATTTAGCAAGTCCTTGTCAGGCAACTTCACGCCATCTTTTGCGCCACATTGTAAACATGCAACAGAATTCGGGTAGCATAAACAGCCACGTGCGTGGTCCAAGATCAACCAAAAAACACACCAACGGATGGGTTTCTAGTGTGCAGCTTGATAGAGAGCCAGATCCCCCCACTCCGCCACGATGCACCTCGCCCGGCAAAGTCTCTACAAGTCAAACAACATGCAACTCTCGCAAGCACCGTGCTTGCGCCGAGAGGACACGACCGTTCCGGCGATATGTCCGCCACGAATCACATCCCCGGACCACGACGAATGGGACTGCCAGTCCAGGACTGCCTTCAAAACGGCCAGGGGTGGTGCTGTCTGGGGCCTGTCGGCGGCAGTCCGGACTGGCAGTCCCAGATGGCGGTCGTGTTTCACCTCCGCAAAACATGTCGTCCACCGTCCTTGGGCTTGAAGTCCGCGGTCTCGATCTTCGGGTGACGCATGGGCCACTCATCGGCCCATGCTTCCAGTTGCTCAAGCGCACTTCGTGGGCGCTTGCTGCGTGGTTCGGGACCTGGCGACGTCGTGAACTGCTGCAAGACGGTTGGCAGTCAGACAGTGTCGCGTTTCGAACACCGAGGCGAGAATCACGAAGGTATTTGTCTGGCAATTGCAACAACAACGGGGCAAATTCATGTATGTTCAATCCATCATATTGTTGCACTGAGAGGATTGAATGCTAAATTGTCAAACATGGAAAAGGAACCAACAAACAAATGAAGTCGAACAACTCTCACGACCCGGCGTTGTATGTAATACACGCAAGCGACAAACCAGGGCAACCCTGCTCTACGATTGTTGTGGCCTTCGGTCACTTCCAGTCGCCTCTTTTTCCGGGCCTGGAAACAGGCATTTGCAAGCAAAGAATCATAGCGAGCACAAGCTCTTGCACTATAGCTGCTATGCATGGCTTTTGCTGAACTGGGTTGATGTACCTTGTACTTCGGCTTCGTCCTGGCCATCCTTTTCGACCGTTGCTTAGCAATGTCTACGGCGTCTCATCCGGTGGGTTCGGGCGACAGAAGGGATCAAGTCAGACAAAGGGCACCCAACTCATGAGACAAAGCGCATGCTACGCTCTGCTTCCATCACTTCGTGCACGTAATGAGTCACTTGAGGATTTGTGCACAAACTGTGCATGGCGCGTGGTCCGTGAGTCCATGACCGAAGGGCACCAGGGTGACCAGGGCGCATTGTACCGCCTTGACGGTTCTTCACGAGACCTGGGACCTCCGGGGTCCGACGTTCGTGTCTGCCCCGTCGGGCGGTTTGGAGCTGCACTCGGACCTTCACGAACGGCCTCGTACCGATCTTTCACGGAACAGGGAACCACAGGGCATCTTTCGACCCATACGCTCCATGTATGGAATATCATGCCGATCAATTGGGGTGGTGTCAGGGGGTCAATGTAGGCATATCTTCCAGTCCCATGGAGTGTATGATAGTGTATGGGCAGGGGTTCCGACCGCGACGGCCCGTTCCGCGGTTCCGCGGCTCCACCGGCCTCCTGGAATACGGCGCACAGCTCGTCCGAGGCCGTGGTCATCACGCTCTGTTTCTTGTGGTTGACGACCTGCCCGGATGGGTCCGCCGCCCCACAATACGGCGGCTCAACCCACGAGTCGAGCTATGAATCGACAACGCGAAAAACACACCAACTCTTGAAGCCACACAGTCTGCTGTACTTCACAGTCATGCACAAACAGCACCAACCAAAACCTGCACTAGCCTGCATGTTCCCAGTACGACGACCCCTGCATCGCTTCTTCGAAGTGAACAAAGTTGTGTCAGCCGCCGCTACCAAAAACAGTGCGTCGTCGAACAAGCCTCGAAGTCGGCTCCGTGGTCGAGCAGCATCTCCACAGCTGTGATTCTGGAACGCTTTACGGCATAAAAAAGCCTCAAGCAAACCAATAAATATCTGAAGCAAGTCTAAGGCAATGGAATAGGAAAAGTGCTGCCACTGTTTGAACCCTTGCACCAAGCCACGCTGTCTCGCCGAACTTGTCAAGTGTGTCTACGTTGGCTTTGCTGTATACAAGAAAGTTGCACGTGTTGACGTGCCCTTGGCGAGCCGCATAGAACAGTGCGGTCTGGCGATTGTCCTCAATATGTCCAAGGCATGCGGCAGAAAGTACAAAGCATATCGCAATAGTAGCTGCAACAATCCCACTCGCTCTCTCTCTCTCTTTCTCTACCCTCCCTCCAACTAAAATGGAAGTGGACAACCGATTCCTGTTTGTAGAGGAAAAGGGTCTTTCCAGTGCCATGTTCCACTTCCATGATTGTTCATGATTGTTGGAGGGAGGGAGGGTATACGTAGCACATCTCCGTCTCTCTCTCTCTCTCTCTCTTTTCTGGACCTTATGTCAGCCCAAGAGCATCGAGGTGATTCAGCGGGACTCCAGCCCGAAGGAGAGTGTCACAAAGCTCCAGGGCCTCTGCAACTTCACTGTGCTTTCAGCAAGGAGACTTGGCCAATGGATGAAAAATGATGAAAAGCTACGTGGCTACGTGGTGGCTACGTGTGGCTACGCGTGGAATATGTCACCACATCAACACCTTGATGCCAAATACGCTCGCAAGCCAATTTGACGCTGCAATGCTTTGCATGTTGCTTTCTTGTCAAAGAACAGCGTCTGCGCTGCCAATGACACATAATGACACCAACCTTTGCCGCCTCTTCATCTTCTCCATATCGTGCAGCAGCAAAGAATAACAAAGTCTGCTGCATTACGGTCTTCAAGTGGCCTGGTACAGTTAACCGGGAGTATGCGCATGCACTCAGGCAAAGTAAGCATAGAAGTGTCGGGTATACACATCCTTTAAAACTGCACAAGTGGATCAACCATACTGAGATGGCGCCCTAGGAGGGATATCAACTTATGCTTAGCTATCCTGACATGTGGATCACGAGATTGAGATGCGGCTTAAGATGCATTGGTTTGACGCCACCAATGCGGCCACATGTTGCTGTGCTTTGATGAAGGAAGCATCCTTGGTTCGCAAGACTCTTTTTGCAAATAGGACATCATTCACAAGAAAAACATACAATAACATGTGCTGTCTTTCTTGGATTGTTGCTTTGAAGATCATTGAAGTCAAGTTAACTAATTATAGTCGGCCCAGACTGACGGGGCCCTTGACTCTGAAAGATGGTTATGATCTAACACGTCCAAAAATGAGAAGGAACCTTAGAGCTTTGCAGTGAATCCAAGTAGCCCGCACCGTCAGAAACATATCATCTTTATTGATTTTGATGGTCGCACGCGCGACAGGCATGCTTGTTCAAAGCAATCAACGGAGCGCAAGCACTCCTTGTACCCAATCAGCTGCGGTCAAGCTGTGATGCTGGCGACCACCAAACAGAGTCCAGGACTTGCTCAAAGTCACTTAGCGTGTCTTTGCGGAAAAAAAGTGCTGCTCTCCGAAACAATGAGGGCCGGGAGATCTCCATCTCGCCCCTCGCTGGCTAGACTGGTCTGTTTCCCGAACCGAACCGAGGGGGTCGGTGTCCGCCGACCAGTGTCGGTCTCCCTATTTGAACACACGCCCGTATGCGATGTATATGGATTGATGTGTAAGGTGTAGAATAGGGAGGCCCCCGAGCCATGGATGTTAGCTCGATTCAGTCGTTCAGGGTCTGATAGTATTACCTGGGGTGTTTCCTGGTCAACAGGTTTCCAGAAACCACCTGTTAGGCTTCAAAAAAACACAGGAGTTAGGAACGCTTCAGTCAGAAGGTCTCAGTCTTTCAGGGTTCCATTCTTCCAACAGTTGGATAATAGGTGGATCAATGGAAGTGGTGCGATGCTGGTCCAGGTCCAACTTACCCAAGCCCTCCGACCCCGCGAGTCGCGCGTGGAGTCGACTGCTGACGCCCCGGCGCCTGCCGGTCTTGGTGGAACTTCAGCTGCTTCAGTGGCACACCTCAACCGACCAAGTCGCGCGGCCGCACCACACGCGCGGGAGGCCACGCGCGTGGCGCACGTGCTCTCCAAGACCATCCATTATATGGAAATATATACCTACATTGACCACCCCAATGAAGGTCAATAGGCCAGTCCCATGGATGCTCTGTCTCGGTCTGGATGTTCCTGTCAGTCTCCTGGAGATCTCTTTCCGGTCCCCAAATCACCGACCGAACCCGGCGCCTCTGGACTGGGCGCTGTGCCAGGGTTAACGGTTAATGGATACCGGATACCCCTTAAATCCCCTTAACCTCTAAGGAGCTCTAATTGGACACCGGCCCGGGCTTTCCGCATGATAATCCAGGTGAGGCAAGTGTCGACACCGCAGGTGTGGCGAAGGATGGCGAATCTGTTTCGTCGTGGTCCTAGATCGGGTGTCAGGTACATGGATGGTCCAACGGATTTGACCAGTCTTCCAGTTCCCATGGATGGTTCCATCCCCAAACCGCGACCCGAACTGGCATATCTGATCCGTTGGGATGCTAGGGCCGCTAGGGTAGCTAGGGGTCCATGTTGGGACAGGCATGGAGTGTCTGGGATTCAGTTTCTTGACCACCAAAACGACCTGGCACTTCGGTCGCTCCCGTTCGCAGGTGCCAACGGTCATTGGAGTCATCTGTGATTCCGTGGGAGGCCTGGTATCTCTTTCACTCATCCCAGATCCACTGCCACATTCTCAGGTTCGGCACGACTCAACCCTCCTGGCACCTACATAAAAGTGTCCCTAATAACCAATCACCTCCAAAAGGAGGGTGTCAGTGGATCCATAGGGCAATTTCTGTGTACCTGGAGCCCCAAACTACCAGAAACCATTGGTTTTGTCCAATATTATGGCAATTGAATCCTTTACATAGGAAATGGCTGCTTAGGGAAACATCCATTTCTTTGTGGTTCTTTGGGGTTCCAAGTACCCCAAGACACTCGGTCGCGACCGTGGCGCAACAGGGCGTCGTCAGTCGGTCAGGCCGAGAAATCAAGTAGACTAGCTTGAGACTCTCAAAAGACGTCCAAAAACCCTGGATCGTATATGAAAAATACATGTCGAAATGACCAGGCCTTTCATGAATCTTCATTCGACATCACACCCGTCTCTGAACACCCACATCGCAAAAGGAGCGCCCCCAAAAAAGGAGCGCCTTGCCCCATCTTCGCTGGCTGGTCGGAGGTCGAATGTTTGGACCACTCTCGACCACACCTGGCAGCTCTCCAAACACAAATTGATACAACACTCATCAAAACTTGCAATGTCGATGAAACACCCGGCCCGAAAGCCACGCAGGCTTGCCCGCCCCCCCCCAAATACGCTCCCCACACCACACTCCCCGTATACCGGGCCCAGTGCCGGGCCCTACAGGTCCCGTCCATGAGGAATCGGACTCCCAGCGTCACCGACGCGCCATCCAGCGTCCACTGTGTCGGACTCCAAGCGTTGGAGCACGCCGAGGAGGTTGGGGCACGCCAGCAGGTGGTAAGTCACGTGGTCAGGCTTTAGAACAAGTGATTCTATGTTTTTCGTTTGTGTCGTCTAGAGTCGTCTGCTGGTCTGGTCTTCTGAGTGAATGGACAAAACATGAGAGACCAAAAGGCTTGCAACAATTTGTATCCCTAAGCATCATGGACCAAAAGTGAGGGTTTAGTTCAGGTCGATCCAGAATCCGATGATTGCTGGGTCAGGAGTCAAGACCCTCCAATTTGCTGGGTCGTTAGTGCAGTTAGGGATGTTCCCATGGATAAGACGATTGATCCAGTCATGAATGGTGGTATCTGTGTCCTTCTGAGTATTTCCCACATGTGTTGCCCTCATTTGTCACGGAACAAAGTAAAACACACCTCCCAAAAGAAAAACATGGAAGAACAACACCTGTTGGTTTCACCAAGAATTGTAGAGATTCCATTGGGTGGTTTGAGCAAAGGCGTGTTCTTGGGGGAATCCGTTCATCAACAAGTAGGTGCAGCATCAGCCAACACTGAATGTTCTTTTCGCTGAGTCGGATGTGAAACAAACGAGTTTGAACAGCGTAGTGTTGGGGGTCCAACACCACGCCGTTCAAATCATACATCATGTAGCAAAAGTATGCAACAGTGATCCTAAGATTGTCACTGTCACGGCGCCGAACGTGGCGGTGCGCCGAATGTGGCGCCACGGCGAAAGCCTGGAAGAGAGCAAAGAATCAGAGGCCCTGAAGACTGCATGCCCGTCCTGTGAGAAACAAGTACCAAGTAGCGCATGTGGTCGGCCAAGCGAGAAAGAACACCGTGCCGCGACGGTGATCCAAACCCAAAAGCTCTGATCCGGAATGTTCATTGAATCAATTCAAGTATGGGATAGGGCTTGGAAACTGATGTTTGGGGGGAGGGAATTGACATGAATTGAATCCGATATTGAAGGAGGGGCCCAACACTTGCTGCTTTGCAAACAAAAACTCAAGGTATCTCCCTGAGGGCTACCTTCCGTGACCAGGTGCGAACCTCTTATAGATCACCAATGTCTGATTCAGGTGCTGTGCTTGCGACACAAATCATTGACACTGGTCAAGCAGAGTGTGAAGTCACGTTGACCACCGAGACGGCTTCCCGGGTTACTTCCCTCACCGACAACCTCACCGACCCCCCAAAAAAACCGGATGACCGACCCATCTCCGACCGGGCGCCACTGACTTCGCCTCCATCCCAGCAGAACGTGTGGCGAACGGCGTTCGCCAGCCACGCGTGGCGAACGAGTCTCCTGGAGGTTGGGCTCCATCGCATAGAAGCTGTGCGACTCGTTCTGCCGAGCGTCACGACGCACAGGTGATGCGCACGTCGAAGCCGCTCGTGACTCGTCGTGATCCGGCTTCTTTTTCGCTTGGTGGACATGGACTTCGAGGCTGAAATCGAGACAGGCGGTTGTTCATGGATGAAGGAAGCAAGCACTTGATGAAGGCTCCAAAAGGATCTCCACCAAGAGCTCCCCAGCGGCCCATGCGCCCTCGGAGGATGCCATGCCATGTCCACAAGCACGCGGATGTCAAACAACAAATCCCCTGCACCAGCCATGCACCCGCAACAGGCCTCCAGAAGCCAAACACCCTGCCAGGCGAGAGACAAGAAAGGCGCCTTCTCCGTGCCTGCACCGATCGAGAGGAGGCGTAACCGAGAGGTGGCTCAGGCTGGTCGGCTTCAGGCGGTGAAGCACGGAGGTGTAAAATCCTCAACGAAACGCAGAAACCACATGATCTGAATGTAGACCAATTTTTTTAGGGGGTCTACAGTGAATTGGATGAAAGTTAGTTGAATGTTAAGCGACCTGCCAGCAAGGTGAGTCATAACATCTCAAACATCGCTTTGAAGATTGGCTATCCCAGTCAGGCCAAACTGGCTGGCGATGTCTCTCCAATCCTGGAGGTACCCGGCGATCTCATGAAGAGCGTGGCACCCAGGCCTGCTTTTGCGATTGAAATCTCCAGATCTATAGAGTAAACTAAGGACGAACGGACGAACGGCCTGGTTTCGCCCTGGAACCGTTGATTAGGAGGTGGTCCAAACATCTCCAAAAACGACCAGTAGTGCACCTCAGTGGGTTGCGTGGCTATACGGTTCTGCGGGACGCCTGGGAATCTTTCACCTGACCGGACCGCTGCGAGGCGGGCTCCGTGGTCAGTCCCTGCCAGTCAGTTTGTTTCTGTCACGTGAATATCTATGCATGTCCCAGCACCCAAACAATCCCATAGATAGCAATTTACAAAGGATCCTTGGATGGAACAAACACATCGATGGTCTTAGAAAGACCCTGGAGTCCACCCGTTTGTGCCTGCAACAATGGCTGAATTCGTAACTACAAGTGAAGTCAGGTGGCATGTGAGGTACGGAGACTTGCAGGTCGCCCGCTTTCGCGGCGCTGTTCTCCCATCCTCCCAGTGCCTTGCAGCTTCACCAGCCGGAAGAAATAGGGTTCTTCTGCCCCCGCCGGCCTGGCCGAACGAGTGCGCACCCGCCCACCCGATCACCCGAACACCATGGGCTCAGGGGCCCCGAAAGCGTGCGTTCGTCTTCGTCTTTGGGTTCCCGAAGTTCGTTGTGAACTTGGGGGATCCACAGAGCTGGCCTAGGTACATGAACACCAAACCGTCAAAGTGTATCTGTATCCAATCACCTGTTCAAAGGATCTCAAAGGGTATGTGGATCAGGAAAATCTAAATGAGGTCCCACGTCCCAACATTGCACCATTTGTGTTTTTCCAAGCTGACTTAAGATGCACTCAGAGAGTCCAGAACCATCCGGCCGCCCTTTCGTTCCAAAAACTTTCTCAGGATCTGGACCTAGATGCTATTTGGGAGTTCTTGTCGCCAGTCACCCTTTCCATGATTCTTCTAAATCTCGTTTT